GATGTCATCTTTTCCGTGTACTCCGTCTTGTTGAGGATGGCGGTAGAACCTCTTTTGTCGGCTGGTAAAACTACGATGCTTTCATCTTTCTTTAGTGACTTTAATGCTGCTTTGTTTTTTGCATAACTCTCATGCTGTCTGAAGACGAACTGGGGAACCAGAGGTCGAAAATTCACACATTAAAGTACTCTTTCCCAAAGAACTTCTTCTACCGAATTACCCAACATATTTTACCACTTGGAAGTGGGAGGTCTCCCACCCAAACGGGAAAAAAGACGGTGGTTCAAAGCGAAATTGGGGCTTTTTGCATAAATAAACATCGATGGGCTCCTTTTGTGAGTTTCAGTAATTTTACGACCCGTTTTGTCAAACTAAGTCTTTACCCAGTTAAAATCTAAACAAGTTTTAGTGGAACTAAAAATGGTAGCGGATGACTTTTAAAATATACTTAATTGCCTACTAAATGCATTTCAGTAGATAAAGTTTTGTTTTACTCAAGTTTGCGTCTTGACTCAGTGCAATAGCTCTTGCCTTGATTCAGTTTTTATCTTCCCAAGGTACTTAGAAATGTTGGCCTATTGACTTCAAACTCGGGAGTTTGGGCAAGGATGCTACAACATCCTCGCCTATCATTTCAGAATAGAAAATCTCACTGAACATAACCTTGTATATCTCTGTACGAGGACTGCCACATAGTTGATTTGATGACTTGACTTGATCTCTCTTATGAACCATCTCCCTGATGTTATTGTGTTCTTTTCCTTCTGCCCTTCCCCCTCCCAAAGACACGCTGTCCCATCTGCTTGGATCGATCAAGAAATCTAGTCTTCATGTGTGGTCATGCAACATGCCAATGGTGTGGAGACCAGGTGGCAGTCTGTCCCATATGTCGCCGTGCCGTCACCGGTCGAATCGTCCTATATTGAATCATCCTGGCCTTCCTACGCATTTCATCTGTCTCCTTTCGACCGTCCGGTTTCTTTTTATTTGTTCAAAGGGCAACGCTTCGAGCTCCATCTTCGTAACCGTGTGTTCCGCCGCGCGCACATACGCAAACACCTTCTTCCCGGCAACTTTTAGTCACTTCTTGTTTATCTGTACTGCCTTCAATTCGCGTTGTTGTGAGAACATTGAGATTTTTAACTTTAAATGTCCAAGTGCAATGCATGTGAGCCCTCAATCCTCTTCAACAAGTTTGCTTTTGTTGTCATTTAATAGAATTATTTGTCATATACCGGTTGAATTCTCATCATAGATGAAAGCGCTTTCGCTATGTACTCAAAGACTCCACCGGTGTCACCTTGTATTTGATGGATTCTATCGTCGTCTGTAGGCATGCGCAAAGGGTTGGTTTGATGTAACAAAAGCGGAAAGACTGACGCTTGAGGCATGGTACTCAGATGCCAACTCCGTCAACAGGCATCTGGACCTTCTCGCGGCCCACAAAGTCCTACGCTATTACGCGAGTTAAGGACAGGACAAGGTCAAACCAAACTTAGGAATTGCAAGCAATGACGGCTCTGGGATGAAATCACCAGAAGAGGAAACAAGATTGCTAGCATACTCTACCGTGGAGACGAAACCCAACACCAACTGCCGTCAAACAGTGCCAAATCCACACGCAGGGCCAAGCAGTGAAAGAAGACAAATCGATCAGCCCAGGGCCGACTCGTATAGCCGCAACTTCAAATTGCTGATCGATAAAGTCAGTAAACGCTTAGACGAAGGACAGCCGTCCCAGCTGTCAAAAATTTCAACGAACAAATAAACTCATTCAGGTGGGCAGAACATGGTATATGTGTAACGACAGTTCGACTGTCCATTCCGATAATGCTCAACGTGTGCCCCAATGTAGGTTAGGTCGAAGGATGGTGACTTGCGCGCAGGACCTAGTTTATGGGAGGATAAACTTTCGCAGAATCTACCGCGCTCTCGCTTCCCTCACTCTCCGGGCACAGATGCGTGCATATAACGTCTTTCTAAGGGTCAAGGTATTTCATTCCTCTAAAAGATTGTCTGACATAGTGTCTGATATCTGTCAAAGGTGTAATGGCCTTAAAAGTCTCGCAAATTGCTTGCAAATTATTTTTTTAAAGGGAAACAAACAATCCAACAGTGAGTTCAAAAGTTGAGGCGAAACTTTTTGAAGGAAATAAATACAAATTGTACAAGTCAGGTGTCCTTTGGGGTTCTTCTTCTAGGAGGTCTGAACGCCGAGAACTCCAACCTCAACCAGGAGTCTTAGTTTTTCCTTGACATCTCTCGAGGCATCGGCAGCCATTCTGGAACAGAAGGATAGGTTATTTCAACCAAAGGGGGTGTTTAACGAAATTAAAGGCGGTAAATGAGCGACAGGTAAAGGCATCCAAATGACCATTTCTTAAATCTATGTCTTTGTTTGAAAAAGGTAAGCTCAAAAACTAACTATTAATTTGCGCAGGACATAAAAATGTTGGTGAAAGTCTTCAATACATTGTTATTCAGATGTTCCCTGAGTGTGCGATTCCTCTTTGATGATAGTCATGATATACAAGAAAACAAGATATCTGCGTGAGAAACTTAGAAGCGGCACTTTATTATAAATATCGTTTGAAGTAGCTAAACCTCTTAGACTCGGAATTTTAAAACCAACGCCTGGAGAAGGCTTGGCGGCTAGGATAACAATTATAAACTTTAAGATGAATTCCTGGCATAAATGGAGCTGCAGACGGAAACTGAAGGCTTCATACTTACCTTTGGCCGCGATCAGGATCGGAAGACAGAAATTGAATTATTTGTTTCACACTTTCATCTTGCAAAGCCTCCCGCACCTTTTCATCCGCAAGGGCATCCTCAACCTGCTGCCTGAGCCTTCTTTCTTCCGGAGTTTCGATTTCCTCAATTAGTGGCTTTTTTGGCTTAGTGACCTTTTGCTGTTCACCTTCCGCCTCCTCCGCCAACTTTTTAAAGTGCTCACCTGATATAAATCAAGGAATGAGACAGAAAGAGTTAATAAAATAACAGTAGATAGTGCTCTGCGAAAAATTGCTACAATTGGCAACAAAAGTAAATCTCTGCATCTGCACATGGGAAGATTTTCAGAGATAACAGGAAATGTCGAAACAGCTTCCCTTCAACGAATGTGGAAAATTCCACTTAAACAGTTTATTCTGAAATAAGAAAACAGCAAAGGTTATTCGAGTACTTGCTCTTACGGAACTGCAACTTCATAAAGTTTTCGGCGGACTGCTGAACTTAAATTCGAGCAATAAGGGCACCCGCGATTCGTAATCGTAAAACGGACAAAGCCTACTCAAGTTAAGGAAAACATGTACCACCGGGAGCAGAGAAACTGGAAAAACAAAACTAAAGCGTTTAAATCTAATACTATTCACCACTACCCCGCAGTATCAATTTTTGCGAAGATGGATGCCTTGTGTTCTGATTTGCTCAAACTATCAGCTGCGCTGAAAATGACTTGCGCATGCAAACGGTATGTGTAAAATGTTAAGCTTTTGAAAAGGGTAAAATTATCGAGTGGAAAGCTGGGAACCCGGCCTACTCGTGGAAAAAAATGTCTGCATCAGATTACGCAGTAAACTGGTTGCTCTGGAAAGAATTCGCCAAAAAGTTGAAACCAACGTTAAGATACCCACAGTCGCACAAGACAATACTCGAGCAGATGTGGACAATTATTCGGGTATAATAATAACAAAAACGGAGTAAATATTTTACAGATTTTGTTGTCTGATCACTTTACAAAATCACCATACATAGAAGCAATCACCCCGAATGAAAATGTATTTTATTTGTTTCATGTTAATTCACTAACTGGTGATCTGGAGCCTTTCCACAGATCGCAATTCCTGCTAACGAGTGTTCGAGGTTAAAGGCATCGGACATGTGAAAACACACGTAAGATAACAAATGATGTCCATCGCCACTCTATAATAGTTACCATTGAAAACTACTGAGAAACTCTTCGAGTATCGCATCCGCGCAGAGAGGTGTAAATGGCAAGAAATAGGAAAGCCTCAAGCCCATAAAAGTTAAAAGCTGCATAAAGCAAGAACCCTTATTTTAAAAGTATTTTTTTTCAGACTTTCTAGCCATATATGGTACAAAGTAAAGTATGCAAACTGAATGCAAAAGCTAGCTATTCCCAACATAGTTTTTTTCTAGCAGGACAGTATCTCACTGACTTGCTTCAGTCAATACAGGAAAAAACCAATACCCATAGAGTAAATCAGGAGTGTCTTCTACATCTTACTGGTTTTACGTCTTCCTTGAAATAGGTTTATTAACCAACAATGAACCGCACACCGGCTAGATATGATGAAATGGGGACAACTTTTGTCGTGGTCTGCAAAAAAAGCGTTTGGTATGGTGACTGCAGTTACGCTAGAAATATTACTTGAAAGCAGAGTCTTCAACTGTACAAGCATACATTTAATTAGAAAACGCATGCTCACACAGGGGTTAATATGCATTCGACTGAAAATGACACAATTCCAAATTGGACGAAATGAACGTTTTCAGTCAAATAATTTTTGAAACACTGACTACATCATCTACGCACGATTATCAGACACAGGCCGCTGAGCTCCCTTAGCCTCCCAACTAGTGTTCTTAGTAAAGCCAGGTGTAAGTGCCAGAATGCAGGATTGTCCACAGAAATTAGGGAAAAAACGGAAAGATAACACAGTAACAACGTACATTGACTATTTAGGCAATGAAGCCGATTGAATTTGGGCACTGGTCGTATCTTCTAAGAACACGCTAAAAGCAGTCCCTATATTTGGTTCTGATAAATTGATACGTCCGATGTGTACAAGGTTTTCAGGAAACGAACTTGTAATTAAAATTATTTTTTTCATACAAATCACGAGTGGGATAAAAATTGTACCGATATAATGATTGGTTTTATATGGGAACTCCTTAGAAATGCGGCAGGGATAACCGTTTTACTATTTACATTCTTCCAGTAGATACGCACAGTAATGCAAAATTCAGGCATATAAGCCCTCGTATTAATGATATTACATATAGAATATTTGCACGTAAGCAGAAACGATCGGAAAATTCAGCAGTGGAAATAGCGCAAGCTTAAATAAGAATAATTTTGAACTCACCTAGAACTGCCACGATATCTCTTATAACTTCCATATCTTCTGAAGTCCCTCCACGCTTCAGGTATTCTTCAGGCTTATCACCCAGAGCACTCAAGAGAGCCATTTTTCCTGGAGAGTTTAGCCACTTCGCTAATTTAGGATTTGAGCCAATTTTCTGCAAAAGATCGGTGGTTAACCAACCTATCCGAAATAGACTTAAAAGATCTATTTACTTGGGTTTTGGACGGGTAATTGATCCCCATCCATCTTTATAGTTGAAGGTTTCTGAGATGACAAATTTTTGTGTTCATCATTCCTAACCGAGAGAGTTTTTCGTGTTAAAGCTTTTTTAAACAGAGATTTCGTGCATTCCTCAAGCTACAAGGCACAATAATTGTAATTATAATTAATACTTATGTAAAGAACCTTATTTTCAGAATGTACTCGTGGTTGCAGATAGGACTGGTCAGGGGCCTTCTGTGAAGTAGATAACTTAACATTTGGTGTCGCGACATTATCTTGGGGCTGAATATCCTCTAAATCGGGTATATCCTCGTACATCTGCACTAATTCAGTGGACTAATAAATAGTATGAAATATTGTATTCATAGGCGGAACGTACAACAAGGGAAGAGTGTTGCCTAGTGCAAGCAGAACAAACTGCATTTGGAATCTTTGTAAATACGAACGGCAGGATTAATAGGAATAGAGGACCAGCAAACGATTTTCATGCGATTTCACCTATTCTGAGCATGCAGTTTGGCGTCGTTTTGGTTATTTTTAGTTCGCTCGCTATTTTTCCACCTATTATTCGAAACAAATTTTGCCATTCCTTTAATATTATTGGTCAATTTAAACAGACATGAAAACGCAGGTTTTGTTATGGCTAACCGCCTAGGTAGCGCCAGCAACTTCGAGGAGGTATCTGAAATGCTGCTATTCCGTTTGCTAAGAGTAACTCGTCAATTTAATGTGCTCAAATAATGTAATGCATCAGAGTGTTCGTCATACTTTTTAAAACGGTGTGCCTGTTTCGACCTCATATGTGGCTAGTAGATTCCCATTTATCGAATCTTAAAATTGAAACGCGAAAAATAGGAGATTTCAAGTAGTTATGGCAGTGTATATTCAGGTGTCCTTGATCTCCCAATGGAAATGTCACTAGTGATTTCGATGTATCGTTTTCTCTCTCCAGTATCGGTAACCCTTAAATCTTATTTTCCTTCAAGTGGCTGGATTTAATTATTTATTGGTAAAACAAGAACCAACGGATTATTGCATCATGGGGACCTTAGTCAACGAAATGATGCGTATCTTGATAATGAATAACTTACATAACACAGCCAGTTTCAGTTGCGTCCATG